TAAATCCCTATAACTACAAATTGCGTAAGTCGGCGACTTTGTTAATTTTTACAGATTTCATTTCACCGTCGTACTTACAGAAAATTGTGCCATTGTTAGTCCACACTTTTCCACGTTTTCCCACCTTGTTAATGACGTCTTTCATAAGCTGAAATCGATTTGGCGTCAGATCCTCCCTGATAACGATGCCAGTAGACTTCAGTAGTTTTTTCTTATAAAATATGAGATTCTTGTAGAAGGATGAAGCCAGTTTAACTAGGATAGGCCTTGACTTGCTTCTATCAGGTTTACCCAGTCTAAAACAACTTTCCACAGAAGATGGATTAATTTCTACGTCCAGTTTATCCTTCACCAATTGTAATATCCCTTCCATGCAATTTTCCTGCTTTTTTTCCTGAACACCGTAAAATCTCGATATATTTCTTCTAGTGTATTGGTTCAGCTTATCCTATTCAGAGAGTATTGTGTCAATTTGTTCATCATGAGCCTGCAGTTTTGACGTTGTTTCCTTGTGCTGTTCCTTTAGAACATCTATGTCATTTTTCAGTTCCTGCCCAATAGCTTTTGTAATTGAAGAAGTTAACTGTCGTATAAATTCTTCAGACGTGCACAGTTTAGTAACTGACTCCTTAACTATCATGTGCAATTCATCCTCACTTTTCTTACCAGCCTGCCTTGTTATAGACATGATGAACGGATTATATGCAATTAAATGCTGTTCAGGAACAGATAGAACCTGGATAAACTTGAGCACTTACGACTAGAAACTATCACTGATCGGACACCAAAATCGGGGAATTTTCACGCACAATTTGCCATATAACTTTGACTTCTTTAGCAGCACGGTACAAACACGTCTACTCCATTATTATTATGCGAGAATGCCTGCGGGCAGTGTAACTTATCATTAAAACTATTCTAGAAGTACATTTTTATTGAAATAAAGTTTAATTCTAAATGAATTTCACTATGTACAAATATGGCATATCTTACTTAAATTACAATTTGATCAATATTTGTTATTTTATCATTCACTATCTTTAACTTGAAACATCTTTTCTATCGAAAACAAATAAGGGCATTTCAATAAATTTATAGCTGTAGGATTAAGCTTTAATTTGTCCTTGGGGTGTTTATTTTTAAGATAGATTTGTGAGATTTTTGGATCAGCAGATCACTAACTCTTAATAAATTCATTAATGTAATACGCTGATTTTTGTATACATTTGTTGGTAGGTAACTGTGTATTTATCGTATTATATACGTATAGAGGCATGTGTAAACCGTAAAATACAATTTCCTGTTGAAGATGTAAACGCTGTTGTTTGGAATGCATTATTCGCAACGTTCCGTGTTATTTTGATATTATGCTATTGAATCGGAAGTTTTTGTAGCTAATTTAATTTTATTAGGATGCAAACTGCATATTTTACAGTTCAAATATAATTACGGTATAATAATCAGATCAAACGAACTTACCTAAGTGATGTTCGATCTTGATTATATGAAGGCCTCGTCGAAGTAAATAAAGATGTGTAGTATCATTGATTTCGCCCCGAACGACCACATTATTTAAGGTAAACAAACCCCCTCCCTGGGCTCCTCGCATCTCCGTCGCGGTACTCATCGCCGGAATTCTCAGTCTTTTTTAAAGGTAATGTTGCAACTCTAGCTCATTAGGGGAACTATCGTAGATAATTAGGGTGGGTATTGGGACTTTATTTACTTCGACGAGGCCTTCATATAATCAAGATCGAACATCACTTAGGTAAGTTCGTTTGATCTGATTATTATATGAAGGCCTCGTCTCGTAAATAAAGATGTGTAGATGTTTAAAGAAAGTTGCAACAGCTCTCTTTTAGTCATTTTTATTTAATTTTGAAAACAAAAAAAGAACAAAAGACGAAACATGAACCCCAGTAACAAACTAACATAACCCTAAGTGGATAAATGAACTGATTTATGTATACTAGCTATACTAATCGTTTGTTGCCTAAACCTAATATAACATTAGCAAATTCTTGGTTATCTAAGATAGGTCTGTTATAGAAACGAACAAATGTTTGAGATGTCTGAGACCATGCTGCTGTTAATCGGATAGCGTCAAAACTGACTCCTGCTCGAGTAGCTGTTGATGTTGAAGCGTGTCGAGTGCTATGAGATTTAAATTGGTTGGTATCAAGACCACTTGCTTTTATAATATTTTTTGTCCATCTGCTAATCGTTTGAGATGATGCCTGGTGATGAGGTTTTTTGTATGTAATAAAAAGAAAGTCGCACGTATTTCTTAATTCTTTAATTTTTCCTAAGTATTTTATGAGAGTTTTCGCTACGCAAATTTTTGCGTCATGAAAGAAGGGAAGAACAAGTAAGGGTTGTAATTTGTTCGTCGCGGATGTCTTTATTCTTTCGGTTACTTTTATTTCGATTTTTTCAGGATGGATATTGATATTTTTAATGTTGATTAAACTCAAGGTCTGGACCCTCTGACCCGTTGCAAGAGCCAATAAAATTGCCAATTTTTGTGTGAGAAGCTCAAGTGGAATATCGTCATTATCCAGATCTTTAACATGACTGAGTACAATAGCCGGATCCCAAGTATGTTCGTATTTGGGTAAAGGAGGTCTCAACCCAAAAATTCCCTTGAAAAATCTTTTTATCCTGATATCAGAGCCTATCTCAGGACCAGCTATTTGAGATATAGCAGATCGATAACAGTTGAGTGTTCCATAAGATGATATGTTAGAAATTTCATAACATCTGGAGCATTGACATTAAATGGATTCAATTGTTGCGAACTGCAGAATGACCACCAAAGTTTTAAGCCGGTGGTGTATTGTTTTAAGGTAGAGTTGGTAATGGATGATATGCAAATGTCTAAAGAGTCTTGAGGTACGGCTCTTTGTAGTAGCGCTTCCCGGATAACTTCCCTGCTGCCAGGAAAAGGCTGTCTGACAAGGGATGGGGAGTCCCGCTGAAAGAGAGGAAGGCTTCTTTAGGTTTGAAAATTAAGGGTTCTTGAACAAATAATTTTTTAAAAATGGGGTACCAGGGTTTAGATACCCACATCGGTTAACCACAATGCCCTTTGCCCTATCCTTGATAATTTTTTGCAGTACTTTTGAAACCAAGGAAAAGGGTGGGAATGCATAGAAGTAAAACTTTGACCAGTCTAATGTGAAGGCATCGACTTGAAAGGCTTCCGGGTCTCTCATCCAGGATACAAAGGTTAGACACTTTTTATTTAAGCGACTAGCAAAGAGATCAATGGTGGGGTTATCAAATGTTTTCTTTATCTTTTCAAATGCATAGTTAGAAATAGTCCATTCTGTTTCCTTATGAATCTCTCTTGATGCCTTGTCTGCGTGAACGTTTTCTTTTGAGGGTATATAAGAGGCAAATATGTATAAGTTTCTATCCTGGCACCAAGTCCAGATTTTTCTTGCCAAATTATTCAGATTTCTATATTTAACACTTCCCATTCGATTGATGGTGCATATTCCTGTAGTATTATCTATTCTGCATAAAATATTACAATTTCGAAGATGTTTTGTATAGCATTTCAGATCAAAAAATAAGGCTAATAGTTCTAGTTCATTGATATGAGAGTATTTTTCCTCTTCTAACCAAAAACCGTAGGTGGTGTCATCATTGAAATAGACGCCCCATCCTGATGTTGAAGCATCAGTAAATATTTCTAATTGGAACTTCTTCGTGTCAATTGAGTTGGCAGAATTCTTTACACTACTACTCCACCATCTAAAATCAGAAGAAAGGCTTTTGGGGATAGACTTTTTGCCTCATAATTTCCTATAGCCAAAAACTTTTGGCGTTCGAATAATTTCAAATATAGAAAGCTATATTTGATTGCAGGTGCCACTGACACTAATGTTCCAATGAACTTCGAAAATTCACGAATTGTACAATCTTTTAATGAATGAAACTTATTCAAAAGCTTAAAAACTCTAATTTATCTTCCGGTAAGGAAATTGACAGATTCTGTGAATTATACAGAAAACCTAGATACCGGCATATCTGATTTGGGTTCAAGTTGATTTTTCATAATTTATCAAAAAACTTAAGTGCTCTAAAAATCTCAACGTTTCTCTCACATTATTTTCGCACTCTTCTTTGTTTCTTCCTAAGAGAAGAATATCGTCTAAATAGATTACAGATAAATAACCTTTCTTCCTAAGGAAAGACATTACAGGTTTCATCATTTTTGTGAATACATAAGGTGCACAGCTTAAACCAAAGGGTAAACAGTTGTACTCATATAAGCGATTATTAAAACTGAATCTTAGGTATTTTCTATGAGTTTTTTTTAATAGGCACTAGATAGTATGCATTTTTTAAATCTATAGTAGCCATGAAAGCATTAGGTGTGATTAAATGAGCAACGGTTCTGTAATCTTCAATTTTAAAGTGAGATGTGTGTACAAATTGACTGAATCTTCTTAGATTTATGATTAATCTGTAGGAGCCATCTGACTTAGGGACGGTAAAAATGTTAGAGAGAAATTGAATTTCCCTTGGGATTACAGGACAAATAGTTCCATCTTTGATGAACTCCAGAATTAAGCTACTAATAGTTTTATATTCTTTTTTAGAACGCTTTGGATCTGATGGTGCAACTGTTTGTCTTGGTAAGGCATGTAAAGGTATACTAAGACCCTTAATATATGAAAGAATTTTTTGGTTAAAGGAAAGATGTCTCCATCTTTTTACGAAGTACTTCAACCTTCCACAAGGTTTACTGACCTCTAAGATTGAAGTCGACTTCTCTTGCCGCTCTGTCGGTCCTGCCTTCCGGGTCGATGTCGACGAGACTTGTACTGGTATACGTTCATCCCGACGGACAGCATTTACTGGTGAAGCTCTCTTGACTTCTGATTTATTAAGGGGGGTTGAAGTTCTTGACAATTTTCTGGGGGGAGGTATTTTTTGATCAGAGTCTCTTTCGTCTCTGCTGATAATCCAGTTGTAAGGATCTTTGACCATCAAGCAGCCAATTCCGGTTGGATTGCAGCAGAAAATATTTTTTCCGAATCTCCCTCAGCGGTGAAAATGGACATAATGGTATTTGACGGGTGTGTTGGAACCTCTCCAGTTTGTTCAGGCAGTATAGCTGCTGAAAAAATAAATAACATGTGATTGAGGAACAGGTGCCACTCTAGACAGTAGTTATAATCCAGGCCCCGAAAAAAAAAAAGGCAAAAAATACATACAGCCACACGACTGATAAGGTGACTACCACACTAGGTAGAAAAAACAGCAAGACAGGTTCTTCTGTCACTCTAGACAGATGGTTAGATTGTATGTACCACTACCACTCTAGGTAGGTGTACCACTACCACTCTAGGTAGGTTACTAGTATGTCAGACTCGGTCTTGTCACTCTAGGCAATGTTCTCTCACACTAATGAATTGCCACTCTAGGCAAGTGTGTGTACCGTCTATGGTAAAAAATGTAATCATCAGCAAAAAATCAAAATTACAATACTCACTGTGGTTATTGTCCTTATCTTCGGATGCAGTGATGTGATCATGACCAGAATTACCACTGTGGTAACTTGAAGAATTCGTAGTATAACCGTCACTGTGCGTGTGAGACGAATCTAATGAGTAAGAGGGTGATCCGGTACGGCGTCGTTTCCGAAGGTTTTCCAGTTTACTCAAGCGACGTTCAATCTTCTTCAAAACGGAGCTCAAACCAACACGATCGCGTGAGTGGCTACGGCTTCTATGCCTCTTTGGCATTTTTGCACATAAACAAAATATTTCCGAGAAAAAACGCGCGGAGCGATGTGATCGCACGGCACAAAATAGTAGACTGAGAATTCCGGCGATGAGTACCGCGACGGAGATGCGAGGAGCCCAGGGAGGGGGTTTGTTTACTTTAAATAATGTGGTCGTTCGGGGCGAAATCAAGGATACTACACATCTTTATTTACGAGACGAGGCCTTCATATAATTAATGTTATTTACACAAATAATAAAAGCTCGGCGATTTGGTGCAACGAGACCCTTAAACGGCTGTTAAGTTGTAGGTCCGTATTTTATTTCTTGTCTCCTTATTGGATGAAAAATGTTTTATATCAAATTCAATATGGTATAGAATATATCGCGAGTGGGTTGGATAAAAATTCCTGGCTAGACTATGATCAATTAAATATTGAAAAATTATTTATTAAAAAAATAATGATAATATTGTAAAACCATGTATAGTGCGTTAGGTGACAATTTGAATTCATGTTTTGTCAAATAGTAGGTATACACTTCAACTCTTATGTCAATGATTGTATCTTTGTGAAAAAAATGGTGAAAGGTGTTTTTGTGTGACTTTCGCTTTCACAAAAAGTGGCTTCTTGTCGATGATCGTATCTTTGGGAAAATGCCTGCGGGCAGTGTAGCTTATCATTAAAACTATTCTAGAAGTACATTTTTATTGAAATAAAGCTTAATTCTAAATGAATTTCACTATGTACAAATATGGCATATATTACTTAAATTACAATTTGATTAATATTTGTTATTTTATCATTCACTATCTTTAACTTGAAACATCTTTTCTATCGAAAAAAATAAGGGCATTTCAATAAATTTATAGCTGTAGGATTAAGCTTTAATTTGTCCTTGGGGTGTTTATTTTTAAGACAGATTTGTGAGATTTTTTGATCAGCAGATCACTAACTCTTAATAAATTCATTAATGTAATACGCTGATTTTTTTCTAGTTGTGTGCTCTCAAGCCAATTTAAACTCTAAGTTTTGGCTATCTAAGTTTCTTTTCTAAGCTGACGCATTTGCAAATAGGTTCCATAAAAATGTCTCTCTTGTGAACCTTTTGATTATTAAATCTTTAAGCAAATGTTTCCAAAATTGGCTTAAGGACTTGAACTGGAATATCATGTTTCTGTAAGACATACGAAAGCCGGTTTTTGAATAGCACCCAATGAGTCAATATAAAGGAAAAAATCAATAAAAAATTATATGGCGGGTGATTGCACTTTTTTCGTATGCTATATTAAGACCATACCTTAAACTATTAAAAAAGTTAATGTGAAAACCCGCACAATTTTTAAACATTGCCATGTGGAAGAAGACTGACAATATTGTTATTATTGTTAGTTATGAGATTTATAACACAGCAGGAACTTAACACCATTAGTATCAAACTTGATAAGGTCAAATCACTGAATACAATATATGATACACGGTGACCAAATAGTGTGTCAAAGCTCAATATTTTCGTTACTATTAGTGTTGCAGAAAAAATTTAAATATACTCGTAAAAGTTAAAGGCAGAGCTAAGTGCTAGAACCTAAATTGTTTTAGCTATACAGGGTGTCCCATGAATTAGTGGCAATATAAACTTGTATTTTTAGAAGCGCCTTTTCTTTACCATTCTGCCAACGTATGGTTTCGGGGGTTTGTACTGGGTATTTCCGCATATACGGCCACTTCGTTGAAATCATTGTGGACTTGACTTCCCGTATCTCAAACACACTTATACTGAGTGTTGGAAACGGTGGTAAACATGTTCTCTGACTGGCATATAATTTTATGCTGTAGCCCTTAGCTCTGCCTACAACTTTTGTATTTAACTTTTTTCTGCAACTATAATAGTAACGAAGATATTGAAATTTGACACACTATTTGGACACCCTATAATGACTGAACTAGATGAGAATCGATACAAACAACAAAAATGCGATTAGATAGCGAATTACGTTTTAGTACATAACAGCGACTTCTTTAAGTTAATAAACTTTAACTGTTTGTGTCGAGTCTTAACCAAAAAGGGGTGCTTTACTAGGAATTGCTGAAGTGTACTCCTTGGCTGACCATGACCTGCATCTACTGTACTACTTCTGAACCTCTTGATATATGTTATTCACTGTGAAGTTTTGCGATAGTCCAGCTGAACACTACTGTGTTTATGTTGTTTTGTTCTTCCGCAAATTTCAATTTAGTTACACTATTATCTTACTCTGTGTGACCCATAACTGACTTCTCATTTAATTAATCAATCAGTAATTTATTTGGTGTTTTTATCTATATATACAAAATAATTGAAAAAAGTATATTGCATATTATAATAAATTATACAGCAAGGCGTAGAAAGAATCTATAGGTCAAAATAGTCACTATGATGATAGAAATCAGTTATACTATAAACGGGATGCTCTACTAGAAATTGCTGTAGTAAGAACTAGATAAAGTTGGGCGATAAACACTTTGTTTGTTTATCCACCTTAGTGAACATCTCTATGGAATTGTTTCCAACAACAGATATAGGACATGGTAAAGAGAAAGGAAGGGCTGCGTGTGCATATCGTACATTCGCGAAACAGGAATCGCTTGAGTCGCTGGGAATATTTACGGGATGGAAGATAAATGCCGTTTTTGGTCTTATGAAGACGATAAGTCACGCTGCTGTGGTAAGCTGCCGCCTCGCCGCGGACGGCCTTGCCAGATATATATTACATCTTCACATGGATAAAATTTTATTATTTCGACTCACGCAAGTTAAGACGGGCTTTGATATGGCTTAATTTTATGCCGCTACTGTTCACACTAGATACCTATAAAGGGTTAAAGTTCGTGCACGTTGAGGGCCGAGATGATCTTAGGGTACGTTTTTAATTTGATCAGCCATGTTTGTACCTCTTTGCCGAAAGTCGAATATATTTATGCACACGGTGACCCACGTAGAACTGCAGCGATAGACGACTACTATTAACATTAGCGAATTATGTAAACTTATATAACATATGTGACGATGTGCCTAAAATATTTTCAAAGTATTTCCGGTTGTACTGGAAGAAGATACCAACTTGCTTATTTTAGGTGTATATGGAACACTCGATATATTATTCAATTTTTGAGATCTGAGATTCTAAACACATTTTATGAACAACATTCTTTACTTAAATCTAACCAGTTCTGTGTGAAAACTCACATTTCGATGGCCTAGTGACCATGAATCATCAAAATTTAAAAAATTGAGTTTTTGGTCCACCTATCACTAAGCGATCAGCAGCAGAGTAAGGTCGAAATCTGGGGTTGCGTGACGCTGGTCTATCGATAAGAGAAGTTTCTAGGACGACCAACAGATCCTTATGGACTATACTGCAGTGTGAACGAGCGAGGGCTTCTGGACGTCCCAGAGGGGACATAGAGCGACAAGACCGCCGGTTAAGACTTCTGGCTTTGAGAGACAGATTCAGTAGTACTCGGGCCATTTGAGGAGCATGGAAGGATGATTGTTATGCGTACGGTATATCGCCGAATACATCTTGGCCTTTTTTCGTATCGCCCACATTGAGTGCCACCTCTCACAGCTGAACATCTGCGTAACCGTTCGTTCTGATGTAGAGTAAGAATTACATGAGACCGGGAATGGAATCAAGTCGTCTTCAGTGATCAATCCCGCTTCTATCTGGGGATACACGATGGTCGGCCAAGAGTCAGAAGGCGAGGTGGTGGAACACGTGACCCACTATTTGACAGACAGCGTCACGTTCACCACACAGTGGGAGTTATGGTATGGGGTGCTATTGCTTATGGTAGCAGATCACCATTAATTTTAATCAGAGGCTATATTCAGGAAGTAGTGGGGCCTCATCTTATTCCATATCTAAACACCATCTAAAACCCGATTTTTCAGCAAGACAATGCCAGACCGCATGTTGCCAGAGCATCGTTAGCCTTCATGGATCAACATCGCATACACCGTTTACCTTGGCCACCATGATCGCCTGGGCTCGAGAATTTGCAACACCATCCACAGACTTTAGCAGCTCTTACTCACGAAGCTGCAGTAGCCTGGAATGAGATACCCCAACAGGATATCGACCACCTTATGAGCACGATGCCCAGGCGTGTCAATGGGTGTATAAGAAATCGTGGATCCTCAACACATTATTGGACCAGCTTCTGCAGTCAGAATCAACCTTAAAATTTAAACGTTTTGTTAAAAGACTGCATACTTCAACATATTTAATGTGTTTAACATGATAATGCTATATTTTGTGGGTAGAATATACATTATCCAATATCTGCTCGCAATTGGAATCAAATCAACTTCTGATTTCTGCAGGCCACCAAATAAATCCACAAACTTAGAAGTAAAGGTTTACTGAAGATTCAGCCACCTCGGTGGTCTCATCTGAAGTACAATATTCAAAATTGCATTGATAATGGATTTCATGTAGATACGTCTCTTCGTTTTCTCTCAAATGATCTGCACGGGTATCATGTAAAAAACCTATAAAACATCAAAAGAAAACCTATAAGATGTCAACTTGTAGACTAGGTAGTTTTTAGGGCGCAAACAGTTATTCCACTTTTGCTCACTAGGATCGTTGTGAACGCCCATCTATGGAGGAAGCACTCAACTAAACCACTCACCGTGTCTTTAGTTTAAATCAGTGATATTTACTGTGTGAGAAAATCATTACTGAGTATGCTGAATATGATGGGTTATTTATATGTTGAGCTTTCTGAAGAGAGGTTATGTTCAAAGTTATAAATTACGAAAAACTGAGGAGAATTACGGGAAATCATCACCGCCCTCGCGTTGTGTGTAATTACTGTTAGCATGTATATGGCTTGTACTTCGATATAATTATTACTTATCTCTCTCATTTTTGAAGTTCAGCTAACTTGTATATGTAATTTCCAGAATGGATAAGAATAGTGGTTGAGCAACTAATTTTTAGCTTTGATCTCGACTAAGTGTATTTGAGACAAGAATCCAATGTAATTATCATCAACACATACAACTTACAGCTTAGACGTCCAGTGATGCCATCTCTGCAGCAGATTTTACATAACATTAGAGCCAAACATTGATACCCGTGCCGACTAAAAGGTA